ATCTAATCTAGAGTTGACGAAAGCATGTACTAATAATGTCATTGTATCTCTATCTACCGATTTTGTGACTTGATGTAACTGACGTTGTTGGAACGTATATTTTTTTAGCCAATAGACTGACTTTTGGACCCATTGTCATACGGGAGTCCATCACAATTCCCAATTACTGAAATACTGAAACTTATATGAGTCATACTGATGTTAATCGATGAAGGCTCTACCGCTGACGTTTGTTGCCATGTACCAGCCAACATGAACTGAGTCTTATATATATATATATATATATATATATATATATATCAACTATCAATAATATATATATATATATATATATATATATATATATATATATATATATATATATATATATATTGATAGTGAATGGACGCAATTGGATTTCTCTGAGTTTTTCTTGAATTTTGGCGTTAATTTTAATATTATATGGTTGAATTTGGATTTGTTTAAAGGATAAAATTAGAGGAAATATTATTATATTTTGTTTTTCATTCAATGGTTTCGAATTAATTAATTTAGATTTAATTGTTTATTTAGGTTTAATATATTTATATAAGAAACTAATATTTAAGTAGTTTTTTTGGATAAGTCCACTCATTGTTGATTTGAGTTGTAGTTTGCAGACTTAAACACTAACAATTAGCATTAATTTACATTTGTATGTACTGATTTGTTAATAAACATATGGCTTCAAAAAATAAATGCACAGCCTATGCAGGTACGGTACCAATGAAGGAAATGCTACACTGCAAATTTTGTGAGTTGGTGATTCATTGGAAGTGCGCTTCCATTTCTGAGCAAACAATGAAGGATATTCAACAATGTACCGGTTTAATATGGTGTTGTAATGGCTGTGTTGGACAGATGGAGGCTTTCAAACCTGGCAGTCAGTTAAGCGTGATGGGGGGCGATACAAAAACGATTCATGAAAGCAATGCGGTTATTATTAACCAAATTAAAGATTTGGGGGAAAAGTTTAATAAAACGCTTGTCAATGATGATTTGAACTTGGCGATGAAAAACCTAGAAAGCAAAATAACTATGCTGCAAGATGAACTGAAAAATATAAAAAACATACAAAATTGCAACAACGTCATTAGTGGTCAAATAAAGGAGATAAAAACCATCCTTGATAAAAAAATCACGGAAGATATTCTGGATAAAAAAATAAATTCACTGCACGATGGTCTTAGAAAGTCGTATTCAGATGCTGTGAAAGATGTTGTTGGGAAGAAAGTTGAAACTGTAAATAATGAAGTGATGAGTATAAATGATGGAATAAAGGCACTAAAAGAAGTGGTCATTAGTACAAAGAAAACAATTCAATTATATAGTGAGGTTGAAGAAAGATCGTTCAACTTTATAATTTTTAAATTGAAGGAAAGTAACAACCTCAATTTTAATGATAGCAAAAAAGAAGATGATGATAAGATTATGCGCATTCTTGGTGCAATAACAGATGAAAAATTTGATATGTCAAATGTTGTTAAACACTACAGATTGGGCAAGAGATCGGATAATGTCAGGCCGCTGTTGGTTAGACTGAAGCCAAAGGTTTTGAAAAACTTAATTATGGAAAGTCTAAATAATTTGAAAAATTTAGATGATGATCTGAAGGGAATAGGTATTGGCCACGATATGACAAAAGATCAAAAAATCAAGTGTAAAGAATTGATGAATTTAGCGAGAGAGAAGGAGGCAGCTGATAAAGAGGATTTTGTTTACAGAGTGAGGGGCGAACCTGGAAATTTGAGAATAATTCGAATAAAAAAAAGATTGCACTGAATATGTGCTCTTTCGATATCGATGGAATATTTGAGGAACTTGATGACATTAAATATTTGATAAATGATGTAAATAGAAAAATTATGTAATATTTTCGGTAGGGGCAATGGGCGGATATGAATCAAAAAAAGTGGAAATTTTGGTAATGTGAATTTTGTCATTAACTATAGGGAAAGTAACATGTTGAATGATCAATTGGGTGGTTGTGGTGGTGATGATGATGACCCTGGTGATGATGATAGACGTGATGGTAGATTTATTGATGATGGTCGAATTAATGTTACCTGTGACGGGGATGATGATGGAGTTGATAGCGGTAGGACTGATGATATTAATGATGGATATTTGAAAAAATTACGTCTAGGTCTCTTAAATATAAGATCAATGATTTCAAAGACTGATACTATTTATGAACTATTACATGAAGACTTAGATATTCTTGTGTTAACAGAAACCTGGTATGGTTCATCAGATGATGTTTCGGTTAAACTAGCTATGCCCATGGATTCAGGTTTGTTGATTGTTTGCGAAGAGAGGATCCATATCATGGGGGGTTAATCATTTACTTTCGTGATCTCTTTAAACACAAAAGGATAGCTTTGCCGGAATTATTAACATTTGAGGCAATTGTAGTTATATTGACAGTAGGCACAGTTAATGTTGTACTATTTGCCATTTATCGACCAGGATCGCAGTTGGTTTTTAAAGCATTTTTTCAAGAATTGACCAGTATCTCGGAGAACATAATGTTATTGAGTGATCATGTAATATTATTAGGTGATTTGAGCGTGCATGTCGAAAGAAATGATGATGTTAATGCCAAGCTATTATCGAATGTGTTTGACATGTTTTCAAAGCAAAATGTAATAAAAGAACCTACACATATGCATGGTGGAATGTTGGACTTGGTGGTACCAGTAATAAATATGTCTGTTACTCGTGTTAGGGTATATCTTAGTGGTGTCATTTCTGATCACAGTTTGGTTTCATTTTGTTTGCCAATAGTTTGTTCCCCTGTGTCAAAGGTTAAAAAGACTGTACGGGCATGGAAGCGTGTGGATGAAAATCATTTGCTTATCTTGATTAATGGATCTCCTATAAGTGGTGCTTGTAATGACGATGATGTAGATAGAGCAGCGGAGCTCTTCAACAATGAAATGATAAGAATTGCTAATACTGTTGCGCCTCTTCATTTTGTTGAAACAAGAATGGTTCCAACTGCACCATGATTTGATAGTGACTGTAGAGGAATTAAACGTGATTGTCGAAGGTATGAACGCAAATATAGGAAAAATAAATGCATGGTTAATAGGCAGAACTGGATTGGCCTAATGAATATGAAACAAGAGCATTTTGCAAAAAAAAGAGAATCATATTAGAACAATTTAGTTAACACTAACGCTAACAACCCTAAACAGTTATGGCGAGTTTTAAACAAGGTTTTATGTAACAAAAAAACTAACACGGTTGATGTAGCAAACAATAAAATTACTGCCAGTGAATTTGCAGAATTTTTCAGAAAAAAGATTGAAAACATTAAAAAACCATAACAGGGCATGGTGTACCTTCTTTCAGTTGTAAGGTTAAAGAACATCAATTATTCTCGTATTTTTTGGAGTGCTCAAGTGATGATGTTAAGGCAGTTATTTTGAAAGCACCTCCGACAACATGTATGCTAGATCTCATCCCGACGAGTCTTTTCAAAAAACACATTGAACTGTTTTTGCCGTACTTGACGGATTTGATCAATATGTGTTTGAAAACTGGAAGTTATCCAATGATTTTTAAAAAAGCAATTGTTACACCGCTATTGAAGCAACCATCGTCCGATGCAAATGAGTTGAAGAGTTTTCGTCCTGTGTCAAATTTGTCGTTTATAGCAAAGATTGTTGAAATGGTGGTTACAAGACAGCTTCTGCAATACTTGGATGAAAATAATCTTCTTGCGTGCTTTCAGTCGGGGTACAGAAGATTCCACTCTACGGAAAAGGCACTGTTAAAGCTGTTGTCAACGTTATTTCAGACATCAGATTCAAAGCAAGTGACATTGTTAGCTTTACTTGATAAGAGTGCTGCCTTTGATTGTATGGATCACAATATACTTGTTCAAAAAATGTCCACAAGCTATGGAATCTCAGGCACTGTGCTGAGATTTTTCAAGTCGTATTTGAATGACAAATCACAGCGGATATTATTTAGTAATGAATATTCGGATGAAGAAAAAATGTTAACTGGCGTCCCTCAAGGATCGGTGTTGGGGCCATTTCTCTCCTTGTTGTATACTGCGGATGTGTTTGACATGATGGAGAATCATAAGATGGAGTGTTATGCGCATGCGTCATTCGTCGACCAGGGATGTCACTGTTGCAGTTTAGGAGAGAATTGAAAACACACCTGTTTTGAAGATTAATTGAAGTTGTGAATAGTATGTTGCATGTTGCTTTTGTTGTTTATGAATGTAGCTTATCGATAACGGAACATTCATTTTTTTATGCTGTTTTTTTTATTTACGTTTTAATTATATAATTGAGTTGTCGAGTACGTAATGTATGTGGATGTTTTATGATGGGATGTGCTTACGTTGAATGTGTTTTGAATGTGAGGAAATGTATGTGTTTCGTGTGTTTCTAATAATTTGAATCGATTTATAATTATTGTGCTGGTGGTTGGGTATTTATCTGTTGGTTGTTCTGAATTATATGTTATCGTGCATCTTCTGAGCGTAATTGTGTGTGATCGGTGTGGATAAAGTGTGGATGAATGTATCTATGATTTGGTTTAAAATGGTTGCTGTTTGGTTCTTATATGGTTGTTACATTACTTTGAGTGATTGGGTATGGTCGAGAGTATATGTATGCATTAGGCTGGTTACAACGTTATATGTAAGAAAAAATTTGGAAATCTTATCGGGGGAACCCCCTAAATTGTGCCACTTGACTAAAAAATGACATTTGTAAAGTTTTAGCTCAATTGGATAATGCTAACACGTGCCTCATCGAGGTTGAAATTTCGAAAAAATTGAAAAATTTTGAAAAAAAACGCAGTTTTTTGTTTGTAAAATAAAAACGGTTCACTCTAAAAACATGATTTAAGTTTTATTTTGTTCATTGATTTGTTTTCTTCAAATGTTACTATGATCACTATTTAGCTACAAGTTATAGTTTCTGACATATTTGCAATGTTACGGATACACATTGAAAAAACGTTGAATTTCACCATAACACAAAAACACACAATAACTTAATTTGTTTATGAAGAAATGTTATTAAAATAACACCGTTGTATCTAAATCATTATTATTAACAAATAAATTTATTTTTTAATCATATTATATTGTTTATAGTTGTTATACATCAAATAAATTTCTACTTTAACTCATTGTTCAAAAGGTAGAGGCTCGGATAAGGAGGCTTTTGAGCAACAAGGAAATTTTGTCCGACATTCAGCAATTACCTGCAAAAGAAATTGTTTTTGTTTTTCATCTTTTGTAATACATGAGTTGTAATCTGTTATTAATTTAACACCCCTCTCTGCTGTATCATTTGTAACTTTTAATCCGTCTACAATCTTTTTACTCTTCAAATATTCTTCGTTATTACTCCATAATTCTGGATTGGTATGCAAAAATTGATCATTAATATTAAATCTTTTTAAAAAATTGATTGATTGTGATGAAATAAAATGGTCCACATTTTTGTCTAATATCTCTGATACTTCATTTAATTTTATTAGTGGTTTCATATCACAGTAGTCATCAAGTTCTTCATCCTCATTTGCTTGAGATATTAATTTTGTTGCCATTCTCTTTTTCACACAATTACTTAATGAATCATCGAATAATGAAAAAACAGCCTGCTCTGGATTGAGGTACCATAAGTGGTTGATAAATTTTGAAACTGATATATCTGAGATAAATTTATTGACTTTATTGTAATTTACCAAGGATTTTAACAATTGTAAATCTTGGTTTGGAGCAAGTGCAGATTTCGGGGCATTCAACCACACTTTCACATAAATATTTATAATAAATAGACAAATATCATGGAATCCTTGCTTTTCAAAATTTGTCAGTTGAAACTGTTCTCTAAAAAGGTTTATTTTCAATGAATATATCGCTTTCGCCATCCACCTTGCGTGATGAAAAGCACCAGGAGCCGCAAACACGATGTTTTCTGACGGAAAGCGTTCTAAAAATATAAGACAAAGACTAATCAATTCTTTGTAATCGCTCCTTGGATGATGAACTGTTAATTGTCTTAGAAGATAACTTGAAATTTGATCCGGATTAATCAATTTGCTGGCTACACTTTTATCTTTAACTCCTGATTTAAATTTTTTTATCAATGTTGTTCCATTCAGTTTTAAATTTTTTGAAAATATCCGATTGAGGGCCTGTAGTCTTTCCCATCACAGCATCAAAAACTGATCTCAACACTACCTCCAAAATGTGGTGGCGACATGGAAGATACAATAATTTTTTCTCCATCAATTGCTCTAATAAAACGCAAGCACCTTTAATGCGGCCAGTATTCACGGCAGTTGTGTCAAAGGACATTGCTTGAATCTTGTCTAGTGCACCTCACTTTCCAAGTTCTGAATAAACAGATTTTGCAATTGTACTGCCAGCACCATTTTCTAATAGGGGAACATCCCAATGTACAACTGCTCCTTCTAATTCTGAATTAATAAATCTTTGTTGAATGAGTTATGCTCTTTCTTTTCTAAATTCTTGCCGGCGCAAGCGGATGACACTCCTACTTACAATATATTGCTGAGAATCATGGCCAAGAGATTCAATTGTAGCTGATATTATTCTAGCTTCGTCTCTGTCTGAAATAGCACACCTATCCAATATTAGAGATAACTTCTCATTAACAATTTCTTCAGTACCTCTAGTGTATTTTTTCATCTTTTTTTCAGGCCCATAATTTAGTGTCACCATATCTACCTCATCTGTGCGTTGATCATTATCTTCAATTTCATCTTCATCTGACGTGCTGCTGCCTAACGATTTAAGCTCTTCTAATTCTAAAATATAAAACACATCATTATAATTAAACAAGAATAACAATCTACTTTAAATTAATTCACCTAAACTTGTCCTAAATTTTGTTAACCTCGCCATTTCCGAAGCATTTCTTTTTTGCCGACGCTCTTCAGCTTTTACACACTTTAAATCAACTCCTCCCATGACACCTGGGCGCCCCTTTTTTCTCTGCTTAAGCAAAAACAGTCTGTCTGTTGCAGTCTGGAGTGCATCTTGATGAGCTATGTCAAATAGGTCATCAAGTATGGCCTTAAAAAGTTTTTCTTTCTCTATCTGAGCTGGTCCAGTTCTGTTAAAATTTTTTTGTAGTTTTCTCCATTCTTCATGAAGTTTTTCCAGCTTAGCAACAGAGTCTTTCAAATGTTTTGTTTGTATCCTTGCTTTCTCCCAGAAAATAAAAACTTCTTTTATCGTTAACCTAGCCGCATCTTTTATATTCAGCTTTACTTCACGGATATTATAAAACAAACTACGTAACACTTGACGATTTGATGGTAATTTGCCACCAGTAATTTGGTGGGTCACAAAACCAAGTAAATAAATTTTATCTTTTTGTCTTGAACTTTTCATAGCAGATGTAGATAAAAATGAAGCCATCACAACTGAGAATACCAAAACAATAAACGTGGTGACTAAACTATTTAATATCGCGTGTTTTAAAAACTGGAAAAACAAAGAATATAAACCAAAGATGAAAAAACGTGGATAAACCAAAAGATCTTAATATTAATACATAAAAACAACATATAGCACCCGGGTTAGTAATAGTAAATAAGTTATTGTGTGTTTTTGTGTTATGGTGAAATTCAACGTTTTTTCATTGTGTATCTGTAACAATGCAAATATGTCAGAAACTATAATTTGTAGCTAAATAGTGATTATAGTAACATTTGAAGAAAACAAATCAATGAACAAAATAAAACTTAAATCATGTTTTTAGAGTGAACCGTTTTTATTTTACAAACAAAAAACTGCGTTTTTTTCAAAATTTTCCAATTTTTCGAAATTTCAACCTCGATGAGGCACGTGTTAGCATTATCCAATTGAGCTAAAACTTTACAAATGTCATTTTTTAGTCAAGTGGCACAATTTAGGGGGTTCCCCCGATAAGATTTCAAAAAAAATTTCTTGTGACCACCCTAGTGTGTATCTGTGCATGAATTTAAATGATTTATCTGTTTTGTTTTAGATCTTTTTACAATGTATACTTATGCTTATTTTCGAAATATTTATGTTTTTGTTTGATTACTTAAATGGACAAAAATTTTTTTTGGTTATGTTGGATAGCGACTTTGGGTAGTTCTATAAAAGTCGCTATATAAGTTTTTTTATAATATATATATATATATATATATATATATATATATATATATATATATATATATATATATATATATATATATATATATATATATATATATATATATATATATATATATATATATATATATATATATATATATATATATATATATATATATATATATATCTATATATATATATATATATATATATATATATATATATATATATATATATATATATATATATATATATATATATATATATATATACATATATATATATATATATATATATATATATATCA